TCGTACAGTCAACTTAAATTCAAACTTTAAATAGAAAGCCTAGCCCAAAAAAATGTTATTACTTTTTAAATGTTCCTAACAGTTATAAAAATATATTACTATGAATGATGAAGAGCATTTTTTAAGTGATCAAAGAATCTCAAACTTTAAACACATCGCCTAAAGTATGTAATGACTCACTTCTACTCTTGTCATTAAACATATTATTGAAACGTCTTTTAGTTGCTTAAAGAGTACGATAATTATTCGCAGCAATTAGTTTTTATCACACGAACTTAATGGATAAAAATTAAATTTTTCTTTTTCATAACGACTAGTATATATTTTCTATTTATTTCTATATTTTCTTCTATATATACTTTTAGCCTATTTAGGATTACTTTTGACAGTACTTTATAGGCTGAGCTTAAAAGAGATATACCTCTGTAACAATTACAGAGGTATATCTCTTTTAAGCTCAGCTTATAAAGTACTGTCAAAAGTAATCCTAAATAGGCTAAAAGTATATATAGAAGAAAATATAGAAGACCACCAAGCTGGATTTATCCAAGGTCGCTCTACAACGGACCAGATATTTACTATCAAACAATCTCTTTCGAAATATTGGGAATATAATAAAGAAGTCCACCTACTGTTCATTGATTTTCAAGAGTATACTTCAAGTTTTGAAGTAACAACAGGAGTGCGTCAAGGAGATGGCCTTTCGCCCCTCCTTTTTAATTTAGTGATTGAAGATCCCCTCAAAAAGACTAAACAGTTAGCAGCAGGAATTAATATTGGAACTAAAATTAATGTGCTAGCGTTTGCTGACGATGTGGCACTTCTTGCAGAAAACAGAAAGGATCTAGAGAGCTTAACAAAAGTCCTAATAAAAGAAGCCAACCATGTTGGGCTAACAATAAACCATCAAAAAACTAAATATATGAATGTGGCTAGAACCGAAGGAGTAGCCAGGAAAGAGAATTTTAAAGTGGATGATTTGGAGTTTGAGCATGTGGATGAGTTTAAATACCTCGGCATAACAATAACACATGATAACAAAGAGGAAAAAGAAATCCAAAATAGAGTAATTGTAGCCTCAGCAACCTACTGGTCCCTAGTCAATATGCTTAAGTCAAAAACTCTGTCCAAAAATACCAAAATTAAAATCTATCACTCCATCATTCTTCCAGTACTACTATATGGATCAGAAACATGGGCACTAACATAAGAATGGGAAAAGAAACTTATTATTTTTTTAAACAAGATTCTGAAAAAAATATACGGACCAATTCAAGATGAAGAAGGCTGGAGAATTAGGAAGAATAGAGAATTGAGAGATGTGTATCACCATCCAGATGTAGTAGCAAGGATAAAAAGCAGGAGACTGAGATGGGCTGGACATGTGTGGAGGAGAGAGAACTCATCATTAATCAAAGCTGTGGACCAGAACAAACCAGAAGGCAGAAGACCATTCGGCAGGCCGAGACTGCGATGGAGGAGTCAGGTGCTGAAGGATGTGGCTGTATTGGGCACTACTCCTGAGGCAGCGGTGGATAGAGAAGAGTGGAGAAGCATCGTTGGCGAGGCCAAAAACCTTCTGAGGTTTCAATGGCCAAAAAGGTAAGGTAAGGTAATAACGACTAGTATTTCCAAAGTTTTAACGATTGTTTGGAATTATCTAGATACACGTAAAGTGTTAAAAACATATTCTTCTTAAGATTTTGTCTAGTTTACATTTTTGTACAAAACATTAGCTTTATATTAAACTAGCTGTACCCGCGGGCTTTGCCCCGTTTTACTTCATAAGTGAGCTCGTTCGCATGGCTCAATCACGTCCTGGTTGAAGTTCATTCACTACGCTCACTCACCTTTAGGTTGGAGCTCGTTCGCTGCGCTCACTTGCCTTCAGGTTAGCTCGTTCGCTACGCTAACTCGCCTCCAGGTTGAAGTTCGTTCGCTACGCTCACTCACCTTTTGGTTGCAAATTAGCTGTTGTCATAAATTAAAAAAAATAATAGTGCTGCACACTGTTGGTAATCCTTGTAGTAACTTCAATGCTATTGAACATCATAGAACAGAACCAACTTGTTTAATTGAAACAGCTGTTAAAATTCATTAATTCCATTTAAATATGAGTACTCATAAGGTTAACATGGGAAACTCCATAGCCACTGGGGCGGAGCCCGAGAATCCGATCAGAATAAAAACAACTTAGTTTTCTTACTTAATGCCTAAAGAATCAGTGTACCAAATTTCAGCCTCCTAGGTAAATGGGAAGTGGGAGAATTAGTGATGAGTGAGTGAGTGAGTGAGTCAGTCAGTGAGGGCTTTGCCTTTTATATATATAGATTAATTTTTAAAGACTTCCTACATCAAATTTGCGTATTAAACATAAAAACTATGATTTAATTGTGCTTTTAAAGTTATTCAGCCAGTAAAATGTCTAAACTGTTATGCTTTCTTCACAACATTGACATCAATTTATAAATTATATTAAGTCACAAGCGTAACAAAACTATAAAAACATTTTCACATCGTATTTTTTTAATAATGAATAGTGCACAATCATAAACTAATTGCATACAGGAAACAAATATTACTTCACCATCTTCATATAATTGTGATAAAAACTCTTGAGAGTGTTCTGTAAAATTTAGGCTCAGCTTGATAAGAGAAACAATTTTTTCATTAAAGGTATCGTATTTATTTTATATTTTATAGCTTATAAAACTATTAAGTAGCTAACTAGTTTTCTTTTATTTCAAATCCAACTTAATTAATTCGTTTTATATGTAATAAAATTTCAACACATAAATAGTTTATTGTTTCCTTGATGTAACGGTATGCTAGCTCATGTTTTCACCTTGCTGTAAATAACACATGAACTAAAGAAGGTAAGTGCATTTCCCCATGAAATGTCTTTATCACTGAGTATTCAATGGATTATCAATAGCGATCCCAAACAATTCACTCCAAATGAAGTAAACTTACTAGAATGCGACCGACACTCATTGTCGATAACTCTACTAATAAGCACTATTGTTTCGAGTTTGTATGGTTTAGAAAACTATGTGCTTACACAACATGCTACTATGTTTTGTGTTTTCAATCATCTAATAGGTGATTATTTTTTTACTAGGTGTTTTTTTTTTTTGCAACCCAAATTACATATACAGATATTATCTTAATTACCTCCTCCTTGACCGAGACCAGCCGAGCCGGATGGGTTGCGTCAATTTTCTATTTACACTATATACACAAAAACTTCCATAGATTGAAATATGATACTATGTTAAAAGTACTTTGGCGGTTGATGATTTTGCCACAGGCTTATTAATTTAAAGTTTCTTAGTCTTGTAGGCTGTAGTATGGTTTCTCCCTCAACAAGTTTTTCAGGGCTGTATGAAAGGCCGTTTCCCCTTGGTTTTTTATTGACGTAGGCAGGTGGTTGTAAATCTTCAGGGCAAGCGTTGGGGAAGAATCTTTGTTTTTTTGACAGCCGGCAGAAAGGTATGTCAGAGCGATGTCTTGTACCATGGCTATGAACAGTATTTCTTGTAGGTAATTTATGTAGATTTGCCTTCACATGGTCGGCTGACATAAAAATTTAATGACTGACAATTGTTAAGATACCAGTGCTGACAAACAGAGGTTTGCAATGGTCATTTCTTTTACTCATTCACTGATTTGGGAGAAACTTAGCTCGTACGTTGGAGGCCCAGCTTCCCTACTTCGTCGGTGATCCGCTTATATATATTTTGCATTGTTGTCTACAAGGTTTAGTGTAATTGAGAATGTTTTTTGTATAATACTTAACAGGTGGTTTCCCAAAGAGTATGTTATGTGGGAGAATAAAAAAAAGAAAATTTTCCAGCTTATACCAAGAAATGCTTGCAATTAAACCTTTAGACAAGATTGTCATACCTTATTAATACAGAAATTCTCTTTTGCTACATTACAATTACTAAGAATTCTCTTGAGCTCATTTAGTTGTAGACTTACAAGGAGTTTTTATTTTATCCAACCCCATTTGTACTGTCACAATATTCACCCTCCTTCTTTTACACATTTTAACGATGTTTATATATATTGTGTCGTAATAAATTGTACGTGCTATTCTTTGACACTTCCATTTTGTGAATTCCATGCTGTCAATATCTCCATTCTTAGTTACAAAAATTAAAATAAGTCATTATTTTAAATACTATTTTTTTATAATAAGCAACTGCATGTAGTTAAACTTAATGTATTTATTGTTATACTCAATTGATTACGAAGCAGAAAATACTGAATTACAGCTGCAGGACTGTAATAATATAAACAGTGAAATCGTGTTTTAGCTTAGAACGGAGTACTGACTTATGAAGACTATAACAGTTTCTAAAAAGGGAGTGTTTTTCGTTTACTAGCTTACAGTGATATATAATAATATATTGTTCATCCAGTCAACGATGTAGCATAGATTACACACATTCTTGCATAATTCCCCGGGTTGAAAAAATGTCTATTGGCAAGCGATCACCGTTTCCAAATGCAGATTCTTTTGGAATGTTTCATGGATAGTCATTTTCAAAAAGGATATGTCCAAAACATATTGTTTCCAAAAGTACTCAAAAAAATTCGATAATAGAACCAATAAGCAATCCCATCACCCCCATTTTTTAAATTTTGCTTGAAGTATTCAAAGGTAAAATTTTAAATAGCTCACACCGTCTTCAAGAAGAAAAAACAAAACAATATTATCATAATCAAACCAAAAAAACACTCAAAAGAAAAAAATTTGCTCAAAAATAAAATAATGTATTCATTTTTTAATGAGAGATTTTAACAGGAGATTATAATTTACAAAAATAAAATGGTTTCAATTTTTATTTCTACCAATAAAATCATGATAAATATAATAAAAAAATGCTTAATGTTAACTCCAGTTTTAAAACTATGATTTAAATTTAAAAATCAGAACCTACTCTAGAATATTATTAGGTACGTAAAACTTATGTCATTATTTTTTACTTATATGTTTTTATAGTATTTAACAACTAAGGTTCTCTAAGGTTTCAATTAACATTCAAGGATTTTTTTTTTATTTAGTTTAATAATCTCTTATAGAATGATGTACATCATAAGCTTTGGAGTAGTCACTTCTTCTTTTTCATCGTCCTCCTTCTGTGAACGAAAAGAACATGTCTCATATTATTATATTGTCTAAAATATTTTTCGACTATCCATATTGTTACAACAGATATAAGCTTTTTGATTTAGTTTCCAACACAAGCTGCAGAGATAAGTATTTGACATTGGAGGTATTTAACCCAGCTAAGTTATTGAGTCATGACAATCGGACCTCTTATATTACTAAAAGAAATCAATATCATGTCGCATGGCTCAGTTGTTATTAAATCGATATGAAACACGATACACAATTAAATTAAACTAAACTTAAAAATTTACTTTACTAATAGATGTTGATTGAGAGCCTACCTGTTTTTACATTTATTGTCTATACAAAACACTCCAGTTTAAATTGTTGTGTGAACGTAATATTTCAAGAAAGATCAGAACTTCCTGCTACACAAGAGAAACAACTGATAAGCTATTCATGTATAAAATAAACATAATACAGATTTGTCTTGAAGATGTTGCGTTAAAGTTGAAATTTAATTAGGAAAAGTTTATATACACTTTGTGTTTGTAATATGTCAATGCAAATAAACCATAATACTTACTATGCACTTGTTTATATTACTTCTTCTTCCCCCCGATTAGGCCCCCTCTAGCAAGGACACCTGAAAATAAATTATAAAACTTGTCAGCAAATTCAATGATGAGCTAAAAAATGTTACTATGACAGTTAGATCGTCCCTTAAGGGTGCCAATTTGGAAAGAAATAGAAAACATCGGATAAGCTAGTCGCCATTAGAACTGTCTATTTATGCTGTATTCAAATCATTATGTTATTTTAATCATAATATAAAAAACCGATCAATTTCCCTCATCAACATACGATGTTTAAATGTGTTTATCAATTGAAGATTCAATTCCATAGCTATATTAACAACTATGGTTTGTATCTTAAAACTGAAACTTTACACTCTAATCTACCTTACACTCCAAAAAAAAAATTTAAAACTGGACGATTTTTCCATAAATCCCAATAAAGCCGCTCCTTATGAAATTAACTATATTATTTTATTTACATCAATTTCATAACTATTGTTTCATAACTAACCTATTGTGGCTACATAGTTTTGCCATTAATATGAATCTGCTACTTACTGTCTCATCTGTTCTTTGAGTGTAAAAATTATCATATGATCAGCTGACTGTTTTGAACTGTTTTGTAAATGTTATATTTTATTTTATTGTAGTTCTTTCTTAATACAAAAGTGTTTCAATGTTATAATCTCGTCTTTTAATTAACTTATTTTGTGTTGGTATATTTATATAAGGCACAAGCCTTACCTAACGATGCTTAGTGTATCGCTAACCATACCTTCCATGAAGAGAGCTGCCATGACAGCGGCGACAACGAAACTTTGGGTGGCAGACATTGCTAATGATTTGCTGAAAAATATTAGAAAAGTGTAAACATAAAAAAACAGTTTGGCACCCAACCCTTAGCCCATTTTTTTTAAATTTACTATGGATATAGCCAAGATTTATTTTTCTATATCTATGCTTATTTAATACGCACGCAGCTTTTTGTGACAATCACTCCTCCGATACTACTGAACTGATTGACATGTTTTTGGTGTTATCGGAAAGAGCGTAAACGTGAAGTTGTGCAGGAAGCATTCTTTTTAGGGGAATATTTAGAAAATGAGGCCCTGGGGCCCTTTAAAGTTTCTAATTTCTCTATAAGATAAACATGGAAACAAAACTTGTTATGAAACTCCAGCTCTTGTCAGAAATTAAAAGTAAAAGAAAAACATATGTTAATTGTAAATAGTCAATATGTTTGCTAATTTAACAATCTGCTAAAAACATTTTATAAATTAGTTAAAATTAAATATTTATTTTTTTGAATTTGGGTTAGCGTAAATATTACAATAGAAATAAGCGAGAGAGTCTAGATTGATATTCTAAAAAGAAAACTAAAACACTGTGCTGCATTTCTTAGTAATCATTGTAAGAGCCGATTGGCAAACTATGAAAACATAGGAAAATCATAGAACGCCACCAAGGAGAAGAAATAGAAATAATGGTTCTTTTTACAATTTATAATTAATTGTTATTATGGACAACCTAATGTGGCTATGAGTAAGGCTATTTTTATAAAACACTAAAAAACAAGATTAGCTTTTGAAAAATGATCAGATATTTACAACAAATTATGATTATATCGATTTGTTATGTACATCTTGAGTATTTCCAAAGTCTTTAAGTAGAATATTTTAAAGTCATAAAAAGTTGTGATTGTTATTCGTTTTTAAATGACGCCTGTAATACTTAGCAATTGATCGAATTCGAGCAACAGGTAGAATAGTTTTAACAAATCAGTTTGGTATCAAACAAGTTACAGGCGCAATGAATTAATTTTTTCTAGAAGTTTTAACATATTTTAATGATTATCACTGAGGAAAGTAGGATGAACTATTTAATTATAAAATCTAAATCTTTCTCGTTATGTTCAGATGTAAACGTATTTTAATCACAAAAAAAAAACAAATAAATTATTTGAAATTAATACATGCTTCTAGAAATGTACCCATTTTTGTCATTAGAAAATATTTACTGAATTTCTTTGAAGCCGTCCGATTAAACAATGGTATTTACGAGGGACCACAAGGGAATAGTATATTTAATTTAAGCACATACACTAACATAATACAGCTTAAGTGAATAATGTTTTGGTATGTATTTGGTAGTATTTATCACTTTTGGTAACCGCAATTATTACTTTTGTTCATACAGTGAAGTTGAGATTCTTTTTTAAGATTACATAGTTAAATTATTTATGTGTCGTAAATGAAAGTTGACAAATGAAACAGTTACACGTACAGCATCATATCACGACATGTGTTAGAATTTTTCTCAGTATAGTTATCCTGTTATCGAGTACTTGTATTACCTATTCTAGTCATAGACTTATCATACTCACCAGTTGTTGGCTTCTGTGGATCATACACGGCAGATCTCTTTTATAGGACTGAAACTCTTTGTGACGAAACTTTTATTTACTGAGTGTTGCATTTTACAATTGCATTTCCACGTTTCTCAAACAATGATACAGCGAATACTACATTCCACTAAACACAAAGCTTTTATAATAAGGAATTCTAGTGTTATTTCAGTTGTTTTATTTCGTCATGAATTTTGGTGTCTTTATTTATTTTCCATCTTAGGAAATATTCCTTGGTCCGTGTTATGAAAATTTTCAAACAAAGTACATTGATGTAAGGAAGTATAATATCTTGAGAAAGATAAATAAAATGTAAGTTTTTCCTGCAGAGGGTGATGGTCATTAGTAACTGAAATGAAAAGCATTACTCAAAGATATTCCTCGTTGCGAAAATGTTGTTTATACTTTATTCTCGTTTGTCACATGACAATTACTAAGAATTCTCTTGAGCTCATTTAGTTGTAGACTTACAAGTAGTTTTTATTTTACCCAACCCCATTTGTACTGCCACAATATTCACCCTCCTTCTTTTACACATTTTAACGATGTTTATATATTGTGTCGTATTAAATTTTACGTGCTATTCTTTGACACGTCCATTTTGTGAATTCCATGCTGTCAATATCACAATTCTTAGTTACAAAAATTAAAATAAGTCATTATTTTAAATACTTTTTTTGTTTGATAATAAGCAACTGCATGTGGTTAAACTTAATGTATTTATTGTTATACTCAATTTATTGCACAGAAAACGGAATGGGAGATATAAGAATACGTTGGGTTGAATTATTATATGTTAGATTGATAAAGTTTCAAATACTTAGTAATCTACTAGTTACTAGTTTTTCACCGGACTAGAATTGACTGGTTCCGTGAATAATAAGCCAGGATTTAAAAACTAACCAAGGACAGTCCCATTTTGAAATCAGCAATTTCAACTGGACCAATCTCTACAGAAAATAATACTCTTACTTTAGCATAGGAAGTAATAGCTCTGTGACTTCATTAAGTTATCCATACCGAATGAAAATAAAACTTTGATAATAATTTTACTTATTAAGACCTACAAACAATTCATATTTCCTTAAAGGGAATGTCATTATCAATAACGTAAAATATAAAAAAAAACGTTTCTCAGTTTATCGTGATCCTCGCATTTTGCCTTATAATCAAAAAGCTTTCAAAGATTAAAAATGGAGAATATTCTTCTAAAATAGCGGAGAAGCTGTGATGTGATGTTCAAAAACGCATTTTCATTTATTGGGGATATTCCTTTAGATCAATTACATGGGTTGTTGTGCTTTTATTTGTATAAAATGGGATAATGGTCCTTTTTTAAGTAAAATTGGTGGAGAAAACGTAACATGTGAGCCATTTTGATGACGTCATAACCGGAAAATGCAGCGAGTGCAGACGTGACACCCGAATTGAAAACATTTCTTTAGACACCTACATCCACATTAAATGGTAAAATATATGACTTGCACACAGCTCTAGATGACAGACTAATAAGTAATTTTGCTATAATTGTGTTATTTACAAAAATAACACAACAATATTTAAAAACACGGGTTTTGCTCAATTAAACAAAATGTACTTATTATACAACAAATGTGTAAATGTAAGGAAAATTACATTTAAGCTTATCTTTCAAACAAAAAAAAGCTTATCCCAATCCAACAAATATTACGCGATTATTTACTTTAAAAGAAATCCTTGCCGCCCTATTTATGACGTCGTAGTCAAAAAACGTGGGGGGTAGGAGGTAAACATCCAGGTTTTTAAACTCCTTAGACGAAAAGGTTATGCAACAATATTCAGTATACGCAAGTTTGCACACTAAAGTATAGCCAGCTGCAGGACTATAAACAGTGAAATCGCGTTTCTAGTCTAGAAGATTACTACTAATTACTTATGAAGATTATAACGGTTTCTAAACAGAGAGTGTTTTTTTCGTTTACTAGCTGACATTGATATACATAATATATTGTTTCCTCCCGTCAACTCAAAAGTCAACGATGTAGAATAGGTTACATGCATTCTTGCATAATGCCCCGGCTTGAAAAAATATCTATTGGTAAGCCACCACAGTTTCCAAATGCAGATTTTTTATTTTATTATTTTCTGTTTGCTATGTCAATAAAGCTTTTAATGAGTTGAGATGAAAATAAATTGTAAACACAATGGTTGTATAAACAGAACCAATATTTTATAGTTTTAGTGTTCATAATGAAATGGAAAATATTTTGGAAACTGTGCATATTTATGTTTTATTTTCTTTATATTTCCAAACAAATAGTATGGTGAAGAAACAAATATAAGATCATTGATGGCTGCAGTAAAACCTTAGAAAAGAAAGTTATAGTGTAAAAACTACAACTGAAAGTAGAGGAACAAGAAATAACGTAAATATTGGTTCAACATTTATAGTTTCCAGTCTTTCCTTCGTTTTATCCAGTCGCGTTTTAGTTCTGGACTTTCAAAAAGTATATTTAGACTGTGTTGAAAAAGTATATAAAGCATAGTTAAAAAGGAACTGAATAACATTCTCTTAAATAAGCGTATTAATATTATATTTTTATTGGTTTTTACTTAAGATATAATTTATGATGCATTCAATACCCCTGTGAAATTAAATTTCTACTACCAATGATATTTCTATATTTATAAAATAAAACTAATTAGAAATTATAATCATTGGATGAACCGAACAATACTTTTTAGAGTATTCAAACGCCATGTACAATACAGTAGCTTTGTTGTAATATTTTTGAGTTAGTGGTTTATGCTTGGTATAAAAAGGAACATATGATGAAAACAGCAAAAGCAAACAATTCACGACGAAAAAAACAAGAATGAATAGAAACACTGAATCCCTTATTATGAAACCTTGTTTAGTGAAATGTGGTTTTTGATAAAGCATTGTTGGATATACATGTTGGTTCAATGTGTGAAATGCAATACTCGGTAAACAAAAGTTTCGTCACAATGTGTTTCTGTCTTATAAAAGAGATCCGCCGAGTATGTTCCACAGAAGCCAACAACTGGTGAGTATGATAAGTCTATGACTAGAATAGGTAGTACAAGTTATCTATAACAGGATAACTATACTGATAAAATTCTGAAATTCTAAATTGTGTCGTGATATGATGCTGTACAACTGTTTGATTTGTCAACTTGCATTTACGATTAATAAACAATTTAACTATATAATCATTTTAAAAATAGCAACTTAACTGTATAAAAAAAAAATATATTTAATTTAGTCAAAAGTGATAAATACCACCAAATACATACTACAACATTATTCACTAAAGCTGTATAATAGTATATGTGCTAAAAATAAAAATAATACTCTTCCCTTGTGTTCTCTTGTAAATACAATTGAGGATGGCTTAAATGAAATTCAGTAAATATTTACTAATGACCTAACGAATGAGTACATTTCTATAAACATATATTTACTTTTGAGTACTTTAGGTTTTTTGTTGTGATTAA